TTTTCGAAGAAGGTAACATAAGCTGAGATATAGAATTTTCTTGATGGAGGATGATAGCACTTGTATCCCTTTTGTGTGGATGAATAGCCAACAAAAATACATTTGATTGCACGAGGGTCTAACTTCCCTCTGTTTGGACGGTGGACATGTACAAAGGCTGTGCATCCAAATATCCTAGGTATAAGGCCATTTGAGGTTCTCAAGTGAGGGTAGTGGGCATTAAGAATTTCCATAGTACTCTTGTTGTCAAGTACACGTGAGGGTAGTCTATTTATCATGTGCGTGGCTGTTAAGATGGCTTCCCCCTAGTAGGATTTAGGCGTGCTCCCATGAAACGACAAGGCTCTAGTGACATTTAATAGGTGCCCATTTTTCCTCTCAGCTATCCCATTTTGTTGGGGTGTATCCACACAAGAAGTGTGAATAATTCCTTCTTTTTGAAAATAGGGTGATAAAACCTGGTTGAAATAATCCTTAGCATTGTCTGACCTAAAGGTTTTTATTTTTACCCCAAATTGGTTTTGGATCATGGAATGGAAGCTGGGAATAATATTACTGACATCAGATTTTTGTTTAAGTAAAAACGGCCAGGTTACACACGTGCAATCATCAATTAATGAGACAAACCAACGAGCCCCTGATACATTAGGAATAGTAGATGGACCCCAAATATCACTATGGATCAATTGAAAAGGAAAAACACTTATTTTATTACTGATAGGGAAAGGAACACGAGTATGTTTTGCTAGTTCACAAACATTGCAATGAAACTCAGAAATATCAAATCCTATGAACAATTGTGGAAACATAATTTGTAGGACTCTAAAGGACGGGTGACCAAGACGATAATGGTGAAGCCAAATGGCATCTTTATTGGAAGAACTGAGAAGAGACACGTGCAGGTTACTGGCGGTTTTCTTTGAAATTTCCAGGTGATAGAGACCATTTCTTTCCTTAGCAAGTCCAATCTTCCTCCCCGAGGCCTGATCCTGAAGAACACAATGAGACAAGAAAAATATTGCACAATACTTAAGATCAGTTGTAAGTTTTTGAATAGAAATAAGATTAGCTGATAACTTCGGCAGGACCGGGGAGGAATAAAAAAAACCCCCCCCAACCCCTGCCACTGTAGCTAATTCTCCATTTGCAACAATAATCTTCCTATTACTCGGACAAGGAGTATATGTACGGAAAAAATGTGAGGAATGTGTCATGTGGTCCGTGGCTCCAAAATCTAATATTCAAGAATCATCAAAAAACTTGTCAGAAGCGTGCAATCCATAAGAAATCACTGGTTTACCTGAGAGAACTAAGGAACTAGCTCCGGATGGTTTTTCAAGAGAACTCAATAGACTCCGTAATTTTTCAATCTCATCCCTTTTGAACCCTATCTTATCTCCCTTGAATCCCTTGTTGTCCGGTCCTTCTTCAGCCTTTGATTGCTCTGTGAGATAAGCTTGGGGCCTTTGTTGTCCTCCATGTGTTCCCCACTCACTGCTTGGAGGTTTGCCATTCAACTTCCAGCAATTTTCCTTAGTATGCCTCGGCTTCTTGCAGTAGGTGCACCACAAAGTATCTCGATTTTCCCTTCTTTGGTTCTCCCTTCCTGAATTCCTTGGCTGGTCATCCTTATTCTTCTCCTGATGTTCCAATTTAGTCCCCAGAGCAGACCCTTCCATACCACTCGATTTTTCTAGCATCACATTCCTTCGGCTCTCCTTTCCACGAATAATTGAGATGGTCTCTTCTAGTGAAGGAACCTCCTCCTTACAGAGTATTTGCAACCGAACTTGATCAAATTCGGAATTCAAACCAGCCAAGAAGTCATACACTCTGTCACCTTCAATATATTTCTTGAGAATTGCTGCATCCTCCGGGCATTTCATCTCGAACACTAGATAGTGATCCAATTCTTGCCACATGATCTGCAGAAAATTGGCATACTCTGTGACAGTCATATCTCCTTGCTTCATTCCATTTGTCTTAATCTTTATCTCATACACCTGGGCTGCATCACGTGCCTTTGAATAGGTACGTTGAATGTATCCCCTTCGCACTAGTCAGAAACATACAAGTATCACTAATGGCTGGTTCCATTGAATCCCATAGTGATGACATAATCATTGCATCCTCTTCATCCCATGCCACAAATCTGGGGTCTGTTTTTGCTGGTCCAGTCCCAAGCAGGTGGCTGATTTTTCCCTTTCCTTTGAGGTACGTGCGAATGACTTGTGACCACTTGAGATAGTTTCTCCCATTGAGTCGATAAGAGGCTCTAATATTCTGCAAGTCTCCGGATTTCTGGGCAGGAGAAACATCCTCAGTAGTCAAGGAAGTGCTGGTGGTGCTGGTGGCCTTGGGTTCAGAATTGGACATGATTGAATGAAGGGGAAGAAAAGCAGCAATGAAGGCTGCTCAAGCAGATTTCAAAGAGAAAAAAAAAAATAGAATGATGCTGTGATGACCGGCAGCAATGAAGGCTGCTTGGCGGCGTGGATGAACGGCATCAATAAAGGCTGCTTGGCGGCGTGAAATCCCAGAGAGTCGCCCTAGGGCTCTGATACCATGACGCAAACTAGGGATGGAAAAATTATTTGTATAATTTTCATGTATTGAATAATTACATGGCTAAGTATTTATAGAGTTTACATAGAGAGAAAATAGGAAAGGATATCTAGCACAATCCCTGAAAATCAGGAATTGTTAAAACTAATTTTCCTAATTTATTTACAGCCTAAAATACCTCTAGACAATAATCTTGTGGGAGCTAGGGGTGTCAAAATTAAGGAGGTTGCAGTAGTGGATGATATTTCTTCTCTTAATTGGAACTATAATTTCCGCAGAAATTTAAATGACCGTGAGTGCGAGCATTTAGCTTCCTTACTCTCAATTTTGGAAATGTTTCCTTGTTATCCACTGCAGATCATTGGGTTTGGTTGTGCGATCCACTAGGGTTCTCATGTAATTCATATTTTCATTCTTTAATCAAAATTTCAAATAGCCCTTCTTTTGAGCCTTTCAATTTCATTTGGAAATCTTGTGCTCCTTATAGGGTGAAGGTTTTTATTTGGTTATTTTACCATAGAAAATTGAATACTTTTGATTTGGTGCAAAGAAAACATCCCAATTTTGCATTATCTCCTAGCTGGTGTGTTTTATGTAAGGCAGATGAAAAAACAATGGATCACTTATTCCTCCATTATGACGTTGCTCGTTCTTTATGGTGCAAACTGTTGAGAGCTGCTGGTTTAAGTTGCATCTTTCCGGCTCAAAGCAATACTATCTGTGTGGCTCAAAGCTAGATTCTTGCCTTCTCTATGGGCATCTACTGACCATGCTTTTAAAGATTTTTCACTTTCTTTGACATTGCTAAGTTGGGAGGATGTCTTGGTAAAAATGTTTTGAGTTTTGTACCTGAGTGTTATTTTGGTTCTGTTTTTGGTCTCTATTTTGTTGTATTCTCTTTGATGGATTCCTCATCCGTCTTCTTATTGATAAAATTTTTTAAGTTTCTTATTCAAAAAAAAATAAGAAGAAGAAGAAGAAGAAGAAGAAGAAGAAGCAACATAAAGAGAAGTTTTATGACACTGACTTTTTGATGCGACACAATCTACCCTGTGAGTTTGTCCTTTAAAAGAGTCATTGACCTGGAGGAAATAAAGCCCCAAGCACATCTCAGCGTTGCCAATTGTCTTCCCTGAATCCAAGTCTTGAAATTCACAAGAGTTTTGAGAGAATTTAGTAACACAATTGACTTCCCGTGTGAGTTTGCTAATAGATGGCAGATTGCAGTCTAAGTTTGGGACTAATAGGACTAAATTGAGGGTAGATTCTTCGAGATTATAACAGAACCTGTACCAGCCACTTTTGAAAGTGATCCATCTGCTATCCTTGAAATTCTCATGATAATGACTATATGAATTAAAAATTTTAACATCTCCTGTCATATGATCCGATGCTCCCGAGTCCACAATCCATGAACTTGGTTTCTCTCTTTTTACATTCAAGGCACTTAGAAAATTACCTTTTTGTGCCAAGGATCCGGTTCCAATCACTATGGTGGCAGGGACTTGTTGAGACGTGCTAAACCTCTTTTGAAGGAACAATTCTTCTTTGCTGAAGAGACTGGTTTCGGATGGTCGTGCTGGGTTCTCACCAATTGAGACTAAATTTCCTCGACTTTTACGCGGAGGTTTCCAATCTGCTGGTCTTCTGCAATGATTGCACCAAGGTCGTCCTGTAATAGGAAGTTTACCATCTAATCCTCCATTGTTGCCTGTAGCAGCAGCTTCTTGATTGGAGTTGACCTCGGTGGTCATTCCGTACTTTGTCATTTTAGGATTTACATTTCAAAGGAGGCTCTGATACCATGTGGTTGTATGAGGGAATGAATTTTATTCTATACATTGAAGCCAAAGAGTACACGATTATATAATGGAGAGGCTGAAAACCTTACTCCACTAATCAGGGAACACAAATGTCAAACCTATCTAAAATACTCGCATAAAATAAGGAAACTAAATAAAAATGAGATTGGGTAATTTGCTACCCAAATCTCCTTATTGTAAGAAAATAAAACAGTAAACAAATCAGCTAACACATCTCTGAAAATCTGGGAAATAATCAAAGAATTTCCACAAATTCCAAAAGCACGTGAAGAGAAGGAAACTAAATATGCAGATCTCTCCGGGTAATAGCTTTGAGATGGCAGTAAACTTCACTTTGAGAAGTGTTTCCGAACATTTACTTGTAGCCACGAGATGGTTAATTTTCTCAAGTGCTTGCTAGGTTTCAATTCAACTCGTTCTTTAACATAAAAATATTGTGTGATAAGTCATGATGGTGGCTATGCTAGCTACTAGATAATTAGGGCGTTGATACTTTACTGTATAAATTGACAGCACATACTTGGCTTCTATTTTTCATGTGTTTTCTTTGTTATTTCTATAATTGTGACGTCAAAATATGTATTTAAGACATTTGTTTTCTTTCTATTGCAGGGTCGATTCCTCCATCACGTCGCAGGTCTCTCTTTATCTTGGCAACTTCAATGATTCTCTTTTCACTAAAAGCATACAATATAGTTTCCCTTGTTCATGTTGCCAAAGCAGCAATTAGAGATAAAATGGTATGTTATTTATTGCCTGTAACAGTTACGCTTGCATGGTTTTCATGGTTTACCTTGGAAGTCATTTTTTTATAAGAAACTGGAAATTTATTAAATAAACAGAAAAAAAATACAAAAGGAAGATGGATGAGCTATCCTCCCAAAAGAGAAAAGAACTAGAAGTACAAGACACAACAAGAAAACTGAACACCCTACAATAACTAACAAACACCAAATTACATCAAAATATCCTCCCAATAATGAAATCAAGGAATGAGGAAAATCCTTAAAGGAAGAATCTGTCGATGCCCACAAAGAAGCCAAAAAGTTTGCCTTCTCAAACAATCTTCTTTAGACATGTTCTCTTCAAAAATTCTCTGCTTTCTTTCCAATCAGAGCTCCCAGAAGATAGCAGTGCTCATCGCCTTCCAAACCACTCGAGCTTTCCTTCCCCTTCTAAAACCGACAGGTTTCTCCACCATAACGTCACTACACCGAGCAGGGGCCACCCAAATAAGATCGGCAGCTCTAAACAATTTGCGTGCGCCTGAGGTATTGAGAAATAAATCGTCTGTAGTCTCAATATTTTCCTTGCACAAAATTCAATTAGGAGAGAGTGCGAGATGACGATGCCTTGGAAGTTATTTAATAAGCTCAAAAGTTTTTGCATGAGAAAGAGCTACTCTATTGCTTATGACGCAACTGATTGGCTAAATTAATTAACACTGCACTTGAGAGACAATATTTTGTTTGGAATTGGGGCAGCAATGCTTTCATTTCCTGTAACTTGTAGTAATTAAACATCTCCAGTGCCATCTCAATTATGTTCTTAGTACTATTTGTGTTCTTTTATCAGGTTGATCCATTCTTACGCTTAGTCGAAGATCACAAGTTGCAGGCTGTCAACTCTGGATCTAAGGAAAATGCTTATGGATCTAAAGAAGATGATGGCTTGGCCATGAAGTCGCTTTCAGAAATACAAATTACTGAAGATCAAACAAGGGAATTCTTTGCTTCTGAAATAGTGAAGAGCTTAGAAGACTTGTCAGATGTATAGTTTTTACATGATAGTTTCCCGCCTTTCTGACTTCCTTTAATAGTCAATTAATAAGCTCTTTGGAAATTTGAAATCTCAAGCAGAAGACAGTCTTACTTTTGAGTATTGTTGATTATGTATTTGTTTAACATTCAGTGGTCTCCTTTTGCAGTCCGAGTCATCGACTATAAGACACAAACTTCTCAATGACTTCATTCCTGATGATGTTTGTCCCCTTGGATCCCAGTTGTTATTGGATACTCCCGAAAAATTATATCAGGTTGATTTGAAAAGTAGTACATCTAAGGAGGTAATTCCTTCTCAACACTCAATAGTTTCTAATTCCTCCAATTATGCTTGGGAGAAAACTAAAAATCTTTTTTCAATACGCAGGCTGCTCCACTTTTTTCAATAGATGAGGATTCTTTTGCAGATTCGTTTGATAGTCACAAAAATCATTCAGAATTTGCTGTGGAAACTCCCAGTATTTTGAGTGTGAACCAACTTTTGGAATCAGTATGTTAGCCAGCACCATCTCTTAGTTTAAATTGCGTTCGTAATACAAAGGATTTTAATTGTTTAATCATCAAGCTTGTTCCAGGGCGAGAATGCTCTTTGTTGCAACATTGTGATAACAGGCTTTTGTGTCTGCAGGTTTCTGAAACTACGCATCAAGTTGGAAGGGTTTCAGTCTCGACTGGACCTGACGTGCCTTACAAGGAAATGGCCTTGCACTGTGAAGCACTTCTTATGGGTAAGCAAAAGAAGATGTCTGGTTTAATAAGTGGCCATCAAAGACAAGAATATTTGACGGACTTCTCATATCATAATCAAAATGATGAATCGAAAGCAATAATCTCCGCTTCCTATGTTGATGTTGGTTACCTTGAGGTACTACCCACTCACACTTCTATCCGTTCATGCGCATAGCCACACATATGATTGTTATGTCCCTTAGAGTAGCATCATTGATGTCCTTTCAGCAGGCAGATATGATACAATTGATCTTAAAAACTTGCAATTTTTGGCCATTGTGGTTATTGAAATCTTGCTTGATTTATATTATCTATGGGCTCTTCTAAAATTTTTGTGAACTTAAATGCAAATGCAGGTTAATAACTTCACCCCCAATGCATGCAAACCTTCGGTTGGTCCTGCTCTTATGTTGTGCGCAACAGAATACCAGCATCATCCTCAGTTCTTCAAACTACCGGCATCAAGTCCGTATGATAACTTCCTAAAAGCAGCTGGTTGCTAAAAGAGTCCTTACAAGTGTGAAAATATGTATCTTGATTGATAGGAACTAGGCAGGAATCTGTCGGTAATCTAGCCACCCGTGGATTCTTCCAGGCTCAAAGACTCGCCAGATCTGTCGTATAAACTATTCACATTTTTACTCATCTCCTTAGCTCCGCATAAGAGACCGCCGCAGATCAAAGATCAGCTGAGTTTTTTGCTTCCCCCCCAAACACTATGAAAAGGAGTGCAAAGGAGTTGTTTTCTACCATGTCTCCTTCTCACTCATCTTCAGGTTCTGTTGTGCTTCAGAGCTTCCATTGTCATTCGATCCGTTGATTATATAAAATTGTATTTATTTGTAGTTCCAGTGTTGTTGTGATGGTGAATGTAAAACATGAGAGTTGAATTGATCAGACAATAAATGTAGACTTGATAGTAAATCACACACAGGATGTCTTAGGAGATAGACCTGTGTGCTTCAATGAATCTCTTGATTCTTCTATATAGCAGAGATGACTCTTCTTTATCACTAAAGAGCAATATCTCTAATGTTGCATAATCGATTTATTATTGTTATTTTCTATTTTTAAGGGAAACGTCCCATTGTTGCTTTTATCAAATTGGGAACTTTTTTTTGGGATAAAACACTGTTTGCGATTTATTTGTCCATTAGTTGGAAAAAAAAAAAAAAAACTTTTCTGATGGAATTGGTTGTGAGTCATGTTTCCCATGGTAGAAATTTGTACGTAGATTGATGTTTTTGATGCCTTTTCATACTTTGAAATATATTATCCCATAGGAAAAAGAAAATGATTCATTTCCCTTGTGAAGCAAAATGATTCATGCCTCTTGTGAAGCATCGGCCACAATTGTGTGGCTACATGAGGGAATATTTGCACAATCTCTTGGAGTTGTCTGGGAATAAATTAGTCTAACCAATAAAACAGAAATATTAGAGTATCTCTAATACAGTACCCTAATGTAAAAATGACAAATAACATTTTATATGTAATGTTAGAACATCTACGATGTAATGCTAAATGAGTGTGTCAATGTCAAATTTTAGTATTTGAGTAGGAAACATTGTTCAATGTGATGTTATTCTTAGTGACAAATTTGACACTTAGTATGGAATTTAACACCAGATATAACACTTGCCAAATTTTCACATTTGATTTTTATTTGTTTTATATATTTATCTTTTCGTTTAATTATAACAGTATAGATATTTTTAAATTATTTAAAAATTAAAAATTTTATTGCATTGGCGCAAACAGAAAAATAACATATTGAATATGCTATTTTCACACATAGAAGTTGGAGATGGTCTTATTTTTAGTAATAAATTTGACATATGCTATACTTAATATCAAAATTATTACCAAGTATAGTATATATCAAATCTTAGCATTTAATTATTATTGGCCTTTTCATTTAATTGTTACAATATTGTTATTTTTAAATTATTTGAAAATTATAAACTTACTTTTATAAATTACAAAGCTTCATAATTAATAGTTATACAAAAAAAAAGCTTAACTTCTAACGTTACGATTTTTATCAAAAAATATGATTTTTAACCAAAAAAAATAACACATTATTTATATGTGGTACATAATTTAGAAGTATTTTAGTAACTCCGTTATCTTTAAATAAAATTTGAATTTAAGAGTATGTTTCACAACTCAAGTCTTAACTTGAGTTGTGTATGTTAGAGAAAAATACTATAGTAAAAAAATTGAATTTAAATTTTTATGAGATAAAATGTGTAGTAATAGAACTTGAGTTGTAAAATGAACAAGACCTAAAAGTTTATTTAATTTAAGAATCTAAATGCTAAGGAACATTAAATACACTAAAAACTCTGGGTGCGTTTGAAATTGTTTTCAAAAATGTTTCTGCATTATTTTGAGGTAGGAAAACGAAAACGGTTTATAAATTGCGTTTGTTTAATAAATGTTTTGAAAACAAAACTGAAAATAAAAAACAATGAGAATGATTTTTGTGAAGAAAATGAGAATGATTTTTGTGAAGAAAGTAGAAAATTATTGAAAATTATTTTCCCTCTTTCATTTTCATTTTCTAGTACTTATCAATAAAGTTATTTTAAATAATTAATTATTAATTACTAATTATATTATATATTAATTAATAATTAATAAATAGATATATTTAATAACTAATAAATAAATAGTAATTATTTAATTATTAATTAAATATTAATTTATTACTATTAAGTTTTTAATTTTATTAATAAAATAATAAATAATATAGTAATTAATTATTTAATTAAAGATTAATTGTCAAAAATTAATTATATAACATATTAATAATAAAATAAGTAATAATAGGTTAGTAAATAAATAATAAATAATTAATATATCAATCAATTAATTATAATCTATTAGTTAATAAATAGTTGGTAAATAAAAAATAAATAGTAATTACTTAATTAATAATTAATATTAAATTATAATTATTAATATGTAATATACTAATCAATAGTAATTCACAGTTAGTAATTAATCATTATAATTTAGATTAGGTTTCCCCCATCAACTTCTCAGTTCTCGAAGGTGGACAAGGCATAGCTACACAAAATAATATATTTCGAGAGAACAGAAAAACGAGAAAGAGAAATCAACAGAAACCAGAAAAATGACAATAAGAACATGAAGTTCAAATACGAAAATAAAAACTAATCTTTCACTCTTCTTCTTCGATCTTCCTAAGTCGCTGTCTTTTCGATCTTCTTGAGTCCTGACAGTTTGAAAGGTGTGAGAAGAAGAAGAAGAACACAAAAGAACATATGAAAATGAGAGAGCCTCTGCTTCTAAGTTCTAACCTTTCACAGTTCGAAATGTGTGAGACGAAGAAGAAGAATTGCTATTTAATCTTAGCCTGAGGACTGTGAGGAGCCGATGACGGAGGAACGGCGGGGGGAGGGGGGGGGTTTTGGGGTTCTTAGAGGAGATTGGAGGGGATCTGAGAGAAGATTGAAGAGAAAGAAGGAATTGAAAGAGGAAAAGTGAGGAAATTTTGAGAGATAGGAGGCTAGGAGCGGCTGCGGGCTGCGGCACATGCAAAATGAAAATGAGAGAGAGAGAGAGAGAGAGTGAGAAACATCAGGGTTGGGCTCTTTTTACCTGCTTTTTCATCAAGTTCGGCCAGGTCGGTGGTACTTCGGGTTCATGAATTCCCACCCCGCGTTCTTTTTTTCACAGTATAGATCGGACATAATTAAAATTAAAAATTAAATTAAAAATTAAAAATCTCAGATTTTTGAGTAGGGTTGGCTCAGCACCTTAATTGGTTTGGACGAGGGACTAATATGTTAAGGCCTCGTTTAATTTATTGATTTAATTTTTTAATTTGAGTTAAAATATAATTTTATACGAAAATTTTTAATTATAATAAAAAAATTAAATATAATTTTTTATAAATTTTTAACTGTAATAAGATTAAAATTAATAATTTAAATAGATAAAATAAATAAGTTGAGATTATGTTTTTCTCAATCAACGGTCTATTTCTTTCGAGAATAAATAATTTATAGTCGGGTTGACAGACAATTTAATCAAGTGGGGCCTCAAAACTGTAGGGTATCAGGTTGATAATTAACTCAAGATCAAATTCATGATCAGTTCTTATCTTTTCTCAGTTAATAGTAAAAGTGTGTGTGTGTATATATATGTATATATATATGCGCGCGCACACAAGGGATTGTGTCGTCATTCTTGACTTTAAGTTGCAAATGACACTGCGTAGTTGCCAGCACAGAAGACCTTTTTTTCCCCTCTTAACTAGACCTTTTTTTAGTTGACAATCGTTACTGCAAAAAAAAAAAAAAAAAAAAAAAATTTTTAAATTAAACAAATAAAAAAAATATTGTTAAATTAACTAATTCAGAGTAATTAACAGACCTTTCATTACCTTTGGTATATATTTTATTTTTTGCTTAACTTTTATTCTTACGATCTTTTAGTACTAGCCTCTGGTATATATTGCCGCATGAAAAGGACTGTTTTCAAAAATATTTTAAGCACGTATTGTGTTTGTGTTGTATTTTGATAATTTTTTTTTTAAATTTGTAATCAACTCAAACACGATTCATAGCACGATTTTTTTAAAAAATTACAACATGGATACGACACGACCACTATACGGGTTGACACGATACAACACAAAAATTATCCGTGACACAAAATTGATCTGTAAATTCAAAATTGACATGAAATTATATACTTTTCTTTAGTTTTTTACTTAATAGAAATAATTTAAAATCCATAACACATTAAAATATAATAATATCCATCAAAATTAAGTAAATAATATTATAAAATTTTGAATATAACTATCATGATATCACAAATTCATAATAAAATTTAAAATATATAATGAAAAATATATATATTTTAATTTTTATGAGTTCCGTGTCGGGTTCGGTTAGACATGTCCAGTCTGAAATTAACCCATATTTTCGTGTCAATTTTAGATCGACCCAATTCTAATTCAAACATCTTTTTTCTTAATCTTAACTTACGAAATGCATGTTATTTTTAAGTAGTTTTATCGTATCGTGATCTATATTATCAGTCCTAGAGAATATGCTACAAACATTGGGAAAATGTACGTGGTCATTCCCAAACGCAAACTGACACATCTCCAAACGAAACAAACCTGGAAATAAATAAATAAAAGAGACAAATTAGTAGCCCTCATATTGGAGTTTGAGATGAGATTCTTACACTGAAAAGGAAACTCCGTAATAATATTGTTCAAAAGCAACGCTTGAGATGAGATTCTTACACTGAAAAGTAAACTCCAAAATAATATTATTCAAAAGCAACGGCACGTAAAATTTTTTGGACCCGTTTGGTAACATTTTTAAAATAATTTTATTTTTAAAACATAAGTAAAAATAAAATTATTTTGAGAATTATTCTGAGATCGAATCTAAAATTATGTTTAGTTAATTTTTTAAGAGATAGTGTTAAATATAATAAAAAAATAAAATCGTATATAGTTATAATTATTAATTAATATATTATAACATTATTGATAAGATCTAGAAAATGAAAACAAAAAAGAGAAAACAAGTTTTAACTGTTTTCTAATTCCTTCAAAAAATCATTATTATTGTTGTGTTCATTTTTATTTTCAAAATATTTACTAAACAAACACGATTTACAGACTATTTTTATTTTCATAACTTAAAATATGTGAAAAAACATTTTAAAAAACAATAAAAAATTAATTTCAAATGCACCCTTTGTCTTTTGATTGTGAGCCCTTTCCAAGACCTTAAGCAAATTCTCAACATTATCGTCATCGTTATATACAACTAATTGCTTAACTATGACTAATTTTCTTTTACGAATGAAACACTAATATTTTCTTTTTAAGTATTTGAGCCCCAGAAACTTTTCGTGTTATGACATTTTCATTTTTTAAACTTATTTGTTTTTAATTTAGTCCCTCAAATTTTACAATAATTAGCAAATCAACTCCAATAATTAACAAGAGTTAGAGTTAAATTGAGGAGGATACACACATGTTAATACTAAGATCGTTAATCACTATTATTTAAATAACCAATGAAAATAAAATGGTGGTGTG